GCGTCACCATCAGTCACAACCCTTTCCCACCAGAACGACGCCAGTCGGTCCCACCAGGTGCGGTACACCACACCCTTCTTCTCCCGTCCAACTGCGCCCTTCGAGGCCCCTGCCCTCGAGGACGATACTTCTGTCATCGTCCAGGCGAACGCCTCCGTCCACATCCCAAGGATCACGATCATCGCGATCCACATGGGCGCCCACGGCACCCGAGCAGCATGACGGCGTCGTACCCCACGACGCACGCGAATCCGACCAGCAGCATGACCCCATGCTCCGAAACCATCTTGAAAGCAACGCGCCATAACCGACCACGTCACTCCTTCAAAGCCAGCGCAGTCTTACCAACCAACCAAATGTCCGACCGAGTAGAATCGATCGTTAACGGAGCTCGCCTCCGCGCCCTGTCAGACCCTCTGGGGTGGTAGACAGACTCCACCGGGTGCTCCTCCGCCCAACGCGACGCCGCCGGCGATGGGAAGTCGACACGAAGCCCCGACCGACTGGGGCAGCGCTTTCGCGAGAGGGGCGGAGGCAGGCTGGCACCGACACGGCAACCAGCACGACCAGAGGCACACGGATCAGACAGGAATCAACGGACTCAGCGAGGCTCCCGCTCACCATGGAGTGCCTCGTATTTGTATTAAAACCAGTGTATCAGTACATCGTTATTGTCTTTGGTACTGTTCCCAACGTTCCCAGTACAACTCCGACTAAGAAAAGACTCTTTCCCATCCAATACACATCATAGTGCGCCTGTCATGGATCAGATCATCCCTCGATCAAAACCCGAGCATGGCGGCGGCACGCCCCAAACATGGCCTGGCCATGCCCCAAACATGGCGCCGTCACGCTCCGACCCTTGACAGCTCATCAACAGTTAGTCACGTCAAGTCCTGCCTGCCCGAGGATCGTTCCTACGTTACCATGACGCTAGCCCATCGCTGACTGAACGTATGAACGTATCAGTAACTCCTTGCCAATCGATCGTCTGTCTGCAGCTCGGCAGCCTCCGACATCGTATCATCGTCCTCTCGCAGCCGTCTTCCCGCCTTTGCCGTCGCTCAGTACGCCTCCGAAGATGCGACATCAACTCCGATGCCTCCGATTGTCCGTACACCCCATCGTGGGACACCGCGTCTGACCGCAAGCAGGCGGTGTGATCTTGATGGGCACCGCGCACTGCTGTGCAGGCTGTAGTCGCAGATCAGGCTCTAGAATGATGGGAATCAGTCCTTGGGTCTGACGCAGAGGTAGTCTCAGTCGGACAAGCTGCTCTCCACGCTGCCAAGGCGGATAAACGTGGCATTTTGGCGACCGTAGTTAGTCCTTGTACTTGGTAACACCTTGTAAAGAGGTTCCGTTTCCTCCCCAGTACTTCGCACGTCGTTTAGTCATACTTGTGCCATGGCGCCGGCACGCCCCAACCATGGCGCTGGCATGCCCCAACCATGGCGTTGCCATGCCTTAACCATGGCGCTGCCATGCCTTAACCATGGCGCTGCCACCCTCGTTCCATGGCTTCCTAATCCTAATAAGTGCAGCTCTTATCCTATAGTTTCTTCACTTAAAACTTCTTCCCCTGTGTTATGAAATCACCCCTTTTTTCCCTCTTTTCAACCCTTTTTTCTTGGTTTTTTAATCAATGGCCGTTGCATAAATGGCCTTGATTTGAGGTGATTTCAACACACCCCAAATGGCCGTCACGTTTGCCATAAAATTAGCGAAGGCACACGCGTACTTGATTCCCAGCATACAGAAGGGAGCATGTTTGTGTGGGAACCAGACATGGCTGACGTGCGATCTTCCCACTCGTGGGCGGCACTTGTCAGTGCGTGAAGTGATGGGCGCCTTTTTTGAAGTTGCGCGTGGCCCCTTGGGATTTACACAGAGTAAGGGACCGCATTCTGTCGTGTTTCGTGTGCTCGGTGTCACATTTACGTGAATGGGAAATAGGTCTGGACCAGCGACGCTAAGAAATTGCGTAACTGCCCCAACATTGGCATGTGCAAACATGGAGGCCCATACGGCTACAATTGAAGTATGTTTCTGGTGCCTGAAATTTAGCATGATTGTCGCTCTTCTCTTTTCCGGGACCAGAAAGGCGACTCCAGTATGTGTGATGAGAATGCCTTACGTATTTGCTGCTGTGTGGGCAACGTCCAGAAATTGCAATTGTGATTGCGTTTTCACAGCCGTGTGTGCTGGCTGGAAAATTGCAAGGCGGGCGGAACCATGCACGATTGCCGACAATCAAACCCTCGGGCCCTTGCCAGCCAGTGCTTCTTGCAAGTTTGTTGCACATTCTTGCAAGAAGCATTCGAGTATACTCGGCTTTTCGAAATCGCCACAACACCCGCATGCTGGGAGCTGTTGATGTCCGCTTGTCCCTTCCTACCGACTCACGTCACGACAAACTGATCCCTGGCTTGCAAATCCTCCGCCTAGGATCATGCGGCCTGTCCTGCTGTCGACACTTCTACTGCATAGACTGATTCGGTCACATAGGTGTGATGCAATTTCAGCCAGCAGAAAGGCCAACCCTTGCGGTGTGATTGTGTGGCTGGGTAGAAAATGGTGCGAGCGTCCTGCAATGGCATTATGGGCTTCATCGAACGCTTTCCAATGTCAACATTTTGTATGAGCATTGACGAACGGCCTCATTTGTGCTGAGAGCCATGGCCTACCTTGTTGTTTGCTTGTGCAAGCCACTCCAGCGACCCTGTCAACTCAGGCAACTCAGGCGCAGCTCAGGTGGAATTTCTCGAAGCAGCCCGCTGCTGGGGATCTCTTGGAGGAGGACCAGGGCAGGGAAGAACGGATGATAGGCGAGCGGCATTGCCTTGTCGCGCCGGCAGGCAAGTTGTTTCTGCGAACGGGCAGCCGTCGTACTGTGTGCAAAGAGGGTGCGGAGCGAGTCGCTTGATCGGGCTATGGCAAGATCGGCTATGGCACTGATCTAGAATGCCATCCGATGGAGAATGACGTGGGAAGAGGCAGGAAGGGGATGTGGGGTGGCAGGGTGCTGGGGACATATGTCTTGGGCGCACAGTGGTGGCGAGGCTGCGGGGAGGTACTGCGGCGCGCCCTTCGCCCCCAGGTGCGGTCGACCAAATGTCGTTCGTCACGCTGATGCAAGGACTGAACCGCGGGGCCCACTCGACCCCACGCATGGTGCACACAAACTGCAAGACTTGTTGACTGCTAGCTTGCCACCCTTCCAGCAGTTGCCCATCGGCCTGCAGGGCCAATTTTGTCCAGTTCCACGGTGCTGGGATCCCACAACGGGTTTTTCTGCACCGGGGCCCCGCGCCGCGGCTTGCGTCGGCGTCTGCCGTTTGCTGTGGCGGCGTCTGCAAAGTTGCAGCCGTCCCGCCCGCCCGCGTGCCGAGATCGCGTGCCGCCCCCGCGCGTGACACACGCCCACCGCGGCCATTAGTCAAGGCATGATGTGACGTGCGTCGGCCAGCCGGGCGCACCGCAGTTGACAGTTCGACGCCCCTTCCCCAAATCCTGGTGACCAGGACTGGTGACTTGTTGCAAAAGCTGGTGTACGGTGCAGTACTTTGCAGTACATGTCAATGGATAGACGCCCAAGTCCTGGGTGGGGCATACGTCCACACACGGTTTGAAACTGCACAGCACTGCAGACTGTGTTCCGTAATGTACATTTTGGACGGCCGCACATTTGCAGTCCGATGCGCCACAGTTCACGCTGCTGTTTGGTTCTTGCTATAATGTCACTGATTAGCGACGCGGTTGACAGCATCACTCATCAATTGAATGCCCAACAGACGCCGCAGTTGTGTAGCTGTTGCAAGGTTGTGGCGGCTTTGGAAGTTGGATGTTAGCAGCTTCGGTTCCAATGCATCAGATGACCGCACATGTGGTCACCACATGGCAGAAACTAACCTGACCCAACTCTCATCAAACATGCAAGTCAAACTGCCTCCAGCGCTGTTGTGAACATGAACATTAGTATCTTTGAGGATAGCATAGCATATACCAGTATACCATAGTACACACGAGTGTGCACTAATGTCTGACAATGTGCATATCATTTTACGTGCGTTGTATTGTGTATTCCATAGGATGTACATACCAATGCGCGCAAATGTATGATAGTGCACTTAATATTGTATCTGCACAGTTGTATGTATTCTAAAGGATTTCCAAGTTAATACCTTGGTGGCTTGCACATAACATGGTCCATGGATGTGCCTTGCAGCAACAATCCATGCATGCACTGAAACTGCACTTTCGCAATGCTCTTTGCAAGCACATTAAAAGTGAGTTCACCATGCACAGTGTATGCCCTTCAAGAAGACAGGCAATGGCCCTGGACACATGCATAGATTGCTGCCAGGATGGAGAAGAGACATCGAGGTGATCCACGATAGTCCACGGCCATGTTTGGGCAAATGAGCATAATGGCAACGAGCTCCTCCGCACGAAAAAAGGAAGCCCAAATAACATTCCACATATGGAATTCCACCACCTGACAACAGGCCGTTGAGATGCAAGCCAAGGTTCATATCCTCAGAAAGCATGGAACAGAATCTCTGGCGGCTTCCTGCCAGCCAGGGGAGGAGCTTATTGTATGACTTATTCTATTCTGTATTCAGGAGAAAGGCTTCACAGACGCCCCTCCAGCTTTCCAAAGAGTGTGGCGCCCCGTGACTGCATGTGCGGGTCCTGGATTTTGCTGGTTAGAACTGTGCGTGAATAACTTTGTGGGAATTTTTTGACGCAAGCAGGTGGGTTTCTAAACCAATGGTGGTGCTCAATCGGTCAATCACAAAATTCCAGTTCGTGCCCATCTCGCAATCATAGGGTGTTGGCTCCTCTTCTTAGTGCATGAGGTTTTCAAGCCCACTGCAGGGCCACCAAAATGCAGCTGTACAAAGTGGATGGCACTGACTTCAAAATACTTGTGGTGTGCGGCGACGTTTTGCTCTCAGGCTCCCCAAGGCACTGGTTCAGTTCTTGCTGTCAGAATATCAAATCAGTGCTTCGATCGTGCCATCTTCATTCTCCCGGACACTGAAAGTGGGAAGCGGCTTCGGATCCCCTTTACCAACGAAAGGGATTTCAGGAAATGTGGGCGCCCATTCGCCCTTGACTTCCCCAGTCTTCAGATCGAAGCGCGTCTTATGCAGTGGGCACTCCATACATCCTTCAACAATCTGGTGAGACAGAGGACATCAGCATTTCAGGGACATGTGCAGCAAGTTTGATACTTGTGCAGTACAACCAGTAGCCCACTGTTCGGTATGCAGAATTCTACACACATCTCAACACAAGATTGAACATCATGGGTGTTGCCATAACTGCACTTATGCGGGTGCACATGGAAGTGCAAAGTGACACCATTGTTCGTGCCCTAGTTTGTTGACTGCAGATTCGTCCATCACCACATTCTGGTGTGAAATGCACTCTACAGTGGCAGACAGAGGCGCACACGGATCTGAATGCAAGAAACAGAGCAATGGAGGCACCTGATGCAACTTCCCAAAACCTGCCAACAATGGTACAAAATCGGCAGTACGTTTTGTGAGGTGCTGCCAAGACTGACCACAGCATGCCCTCAGTTACCTGCAATGTTCTTCAGCTTTGTGACAATATTCAATCAGCAGGGACTTTGTGGTAAGAACACCTGGCTGTGCACCACTTGTAGGAATGGCATGTTAAAAGACACGAATTTGGGCAAAGCTAAAGAATGCTTTGTGGACTGTGGACATCCAGTGCACAAAAGAAATTTGATACATTTTGCAGTGCCCATGGAATTCAGGCCAGCCTCAGCAGAATTCAATGCACTTTCTTGCCTGGAAAAGGAAACAACGTCTGTGATGTGGACACTGTGGTAATGACAGATCTGGGTTCAGCAAGCCTTGATACAGTCCAGCAATTGGTACTGGTTATGCACACACGATCAACCATGATCTGCCTAATTAGGGCTGCATAAAATGTGCACACCCATGCTTTCAGAAAGCAGCTTTTGCTACACATCCAAGACTTGCTAGGGAGCGATGCAGCACCCCCAACTGAGCAACAAATGTGCACATGCCAAATAGAGTTCCGCCTTCATTCATTATCCGATACTTCAATGAAGATTCTGACCCATCAGCATTTTTGGGACAAGTTCAGGGAGACTGGACTTATGCTTCGCGTGGGTGCTGTTGTGATTGCAAACGACTTGTAGAATTTGGGGCCCCTCCTTGTTGGGGAATCGGTGGTGCCATCACATTGACATACCTAGATATGGATACTTGCCCAGCGACAAAAGCGAGATCCTAATTCTGCCTTCTGCAGAAGAGCTGACGTGGGGCCAACGAAATGGTCAGCGCTACAATTCATGCTCTCAAAGTGCGTTGCTGTCCACCTCTGCATCCACTGGTTAGTTTTCAGCATGCCTGTGATTTCAACAGGGGGGACCAGAATCTCGAAACCCCTCCATAGAGAAGCGCAACTCGGGCGACGGGGGCAATGCATTCAAGGCATTTCCGTTAACGAAGCCAACGGCGCTTTCAAGGGGAGAGCAGGGATCTGCAATGTTTGCATGCTCAGTGACACATGCCCAAGGAGGCTGCAGATCTCGACAGAACCTTGCACATCCAGCACTTGACATTGTCCCCGCTTGCCGCGGCCAAATCCCCAATCCTGGAACAGAGAATCTGCAGGCAAGAGTGCACTGGGCCCGGAAAACGTGTCCCACCTGGCCCTGCAGGATCGGCGTCCGGCCCACGAGCGGCAGGCTGAGGTGCGTGCAGACGTTGGACAGGCAGTACAGCTGGCCCTCGAACTCCTGCACGAACACCTTTTCCCCGCCGACCTTGGCCCGCACCCGTCCCCCGCCCTCGCTGAGCTCCTTCCGCGTGCACACCTTCTGCCACTCGCCCGAGCCCGAAGCCGCTCGGACGGCCAGGCGCGAGGGCCTGCCGCCGGCGATCGGGGCCCGCAAGGCGCCGCGGAAACTCGCCGTGGACACGCCAGCCATTGCTGCGGGGACGGTGGCCCGTGGATCGAGGGGCGGGGTGGGAGGGGACGGTTTGGGTCAATGGCGCCCTCCACCTCTGGCTATCAAGGTGTGGGGGTTAGGCACAGTTTTGGAGAATGGTACTGTGACTGATCTGTTGCGATCTCATGAGATCCATTGCATTCAATTGGTCAATCAGTCTACATATATATTATCAATCGATCCAGTTCTGTTCCAGTTGGAGAACAGTTTATCACCTGATCAGCCGCGATGAGGTTCTTTGCATTCGATTTATCAATCAATCTACATGTACTGCTTCGAGAATTGCTCGAGGTGAGGAGACGGCTGCCCGGTCCCTGTTTCGCCCGATGGAAGCAACGTCGGTGGCATGTACAGTGAGAGCCCAAGGCATTGCCGCAATCCGACCTGCCAAAATAGTTGGCCATTGAAAGTGACAGCCTTATGAAATCCAATCCGTTGTACTGGTGCATATGTGCACGCAACTACAATTTCTTGGTGTAAAATATTTGTTGGCAACCGCTCTACACCTACCACTCCAGGATGTTCTACCACGTTGGGAAAAAGTGGCCGTCAAGCCACGATACCCAGGAGGTGTGAATATGTGTGTGGGGGTGGAAATTGAGGAGTGGGGAGTGGGGGTAGGTGGGAGTGGGGGTGGGGGTGGGGATAGAGTCGGGGGCATACAATACAAGGTGTTTGTGGGCAAAAATTGCCTCCATCATTGTTGGATAAACATTTGCTAGCGGAGAAAACCTTGGCGATACCAGCTGTGATTCCATGCTGGCACTAAATGATGCATCATAGTGACTGCGATGGCATAGTGACTGTGTGGGCAACAATTAGTGTCAACGTCGCACCACAGCTAGCGTCGCCACCATGGCGTTTCCTTTTGGTGACTGCCAGATTCTGCCCTTCCATCCTTTCAACGCGGTACCTGCAGATGGCTTTCGACCATCATCGGGATCTTCAAAGCAGCACTCAGTTTTGTTGAAGGCTGCGGAATGTAAATACTGATACGCTTCATGTCAAATTGGCGCTGAACTTCCATCCTTCCCCTTTTGTCCCTGCGTCTATTTTAAGGACAGTCATGCCACCAGGACGTTTCCGAATTATCCCGCAATCGACGCAAGAAATTGGTCAATGGTTGCCGAACTATGCGTCGCAACATTTGAACACATAAAGAAGTGTAATCGGTGTGACTGCCAAGGGTGGGGTTCAGCTGCTAGACTGACAACGCTACTCTGTGATTGATTCTGGGAATCAGGGCAAGCACGTCGTCCGGCTGTGAACTTGTTTAGACCGTATGCAGGGTGAATTTTATCAAGAACTTGCGTTAAGCTCTTATTGGTGCGCGTAGTGTGCTTTCGTTTGAAGAGATATGTTGGCCATCATTTTGGGACTTCGTGAGACGGGAATAAATCCTGACGTGAGGTCTCTAGTACTTTTCTTGTCAGACTCACATCAGATGCAACTGCCCCACTGTTCGACCAACTGGACCTCAAGAATAGCCGCAAGTGGTGAATGCAGTCCATAGGGGGCAGGGGGCCAGACGGGCTTGGCATGGATGACGGTCAGCTCCGCACAGCAGCCCCTCTGCTAGAGAGCTGAAAGCTGATGCACGTGGATTGTTGCTACAATAGTCCGGGGATTGGAGGGGCCAGTCTGCAATTCGCGTCGGGAGTCCCTGTGTTTACATTGGCACTTGGGCGACTCGAGAACATGAAAACAAGGCTAACCCGGACTGCAACTTTGTCGAGAAAGTGTCATTGCACTATATCTGAATGTGGCTTGACCTTGGTGGATCGATCTAGCAGTTTGGCAAGGCGTCTTGACAGCAATTCTTTTTTTTATGAGTCACGATTGCAAAGCTCCCAGGCTTGCCCAGCATTGGCTTGTAATGAATGCTACATCAATACAATGTGTGCAGCACATTTCTCAGCTGGCAGACTTGCTGTTCACACTGGATGATTTTTACGCGTAAAAAAGTAAATTTGCAAAAGGGTCTATTTTCTGCTGCTATTTTTACGTTTTTACGGCTCCCTGGGACGCCCAGATTACACGACGAAAGTTCCCACAATGGCCAGGCCTCCGCCATATCCAGACACGCAACACAGTGTCCACCTCGCCCTTGGCAAGGGCGATGACGGTGTTTAACAAAAACTCGTTTTCTCCCCCTTCCAGGGCGTCTGGATGCCACTCTCCGGACTCCGTAAGTCTGTGTGTACTGTCCTTATGTACAACGAGCAGTTTTACCATTGTATTTACGTATTTTTACGCATTTTCATGTGCAAAAACGTAATAACTGTTTTTACGCGTAAAAACGTAAATACGATCAGTTCTTACGGCGTAAAAACCAAGCCTGTGCATGAGCACAGTTTTGGCGGCATGTGTGTTGCTGTAGAGCTCACTGCTGTCATTCCATTTGACTTCCCATCACTTCCTTGCAAACACATCTTCCAAATAGCACAGGGGATGCCATGGAAGAGTGTTTCAGTCGGCAGGAATCACTACGACAAAAGGGGCCAAAAAACACGTGATCAGACGTGTACAAAGTTTACAAGTTTGGGTTTTTTTCGAGTTCTTGGCGTGCAGAACATTGATCAAACCATAGACCGAGATGTTGTTTCAATGTTGTGCTAAAAAGACTGTGCGCAGCGCACACCACACATTTTCTCATCAGTGCAAAATCGTTTGCAATTGCTTGCGAGACATGTCGGATTGACCACTTTGCCGCCAGGGCAATGCTTATGGTGTGTAATTATTGTCACCCTCTGTCGTCATTATGCACAATATAGATACGGCGATCTATGCATGGTGGTTACCCTTTTCGACGCTGGACAGATCTGGACCATTGTTCGCTAACTGGTCACTCGCGTGCCTGCTGGTTCGGGATACGTCTCTCCATATTGTGAGCGTGCGCGGAGATTTAGCAGGACAGGACGAGGGCACAAGCATTTGCAGTGCGAACGCTACGTATGATGTGCACTCTGATTGGCGACAATAACTGTAGGAATGCCATGACTACTGTCAGCCGATGTCACACGTTGGGTTTCTCGCTCACGGAGTTGGAATGCATTGGCAATTGACTATTGAAGGGGAAGCGTGGCGGATGACTCGATGGGCACTGAGCACCAGGCAGATGAGTTGAGGCTTTGTTGTCCTGCGCTGGCATCCAGCAGCGCTCCTGAGGATGCGGAAGCGCTCACTTACAGATCAGCTTGTGGCGTGTTTCTTGCGCAGTGCACAACTTCTATAGCCTTCAAACAACCCGAACAATCTCCCCGATGGTGTTTGTCAGGCATCACCGCGCTGTAGGGCGTTGGATGCTTCGCAGTCCATGGCACGATTGGCCTCCTATGCCTGTTTGTGCAATTTGCCTTGGCGAGTTGGCTCCGCTTGGACAAATGAATTGGTTTCAATGCACAGCTGCACATGTGGCAGAACGGGGTGGTCGCGTCGCGTGGACAGCCACATTGAGTCAGCATCACGTTCCAACGATGAGCACAGCCTTCACAAGTACCAGCAACCGGCGTGAAAAAGAAACGCAACCCCTTTGCTATCTAGCTGGCTATCCTCCACTAGTTGCATCAAATTGGGGGGCCTGAATGTGCCACGCGGAAAACGTGTGCGATATGACGATGGCACCTTCCCTCGAGTGGTCTTGGCTAGGTGAATGGGCCTGACAGCTCCCTTCTTGCCGAGAAATGGGATATCTTATATCACCCAAACAGTGGCACAGGCAATTCACAGTCACTTGCCGCGCAAGGTGGACACGTACATCCTTACCGCATTGGGACTGACTGCAACATCCAGCAGACTACCAGATATGCAAATAACTGGCGTGCTGCAATGCTGGGCGCCATGCGGCAAACTCGGGACGGCAGAGAAAAGAGCATGCAGAATGCACTCTGTACCAAATACTGGTAGTACGTTGCCGGGAGAGAATGACCGCCAGGCGCTCCCAGAGTCCCTCCAGTGGCCACAGGAGATTAGTCCTCCTGTGAGGGTTGCAGGGTAGGTTTGCCAACGAGTTGAAGGTCTCAAATGGCGTTGGGAAGCACACCGTCGTCTTCCGGTTGCTGTTAGGAGGCCCGTACTTCGGCGAAGCCACTGAAATAATTCAGTGGCCCAATAATGAGCATTGAACACATGGATGCATTGCCCCAGGGCGTGCTTCTATTCAGCACCGTTGTTCTGTAGAAAATCATGATGATGGTGATGATGATGATTGTAGAAAGTGCATATAAAATGAGAAGAAGGTGTGTGCGCACAGTCCTTGACCGCACCCGAGGACGGCGCCCACCTCCCCGCGGCCCCCTCTGACACCCTCCACTGCTTTGATTGGCTCGGCGGCGCGCGGCCCCACACCTGCTGCAAGGGACGGCACGGCATTGAGCCGTCCGGGGCAGGCGTTATTTCGCGCCCGCGGGAGATACACTAGAAGCACCCCTCAAGCGCCCGCCAGTCTGCCGCCGGGTCGCTGCACCGGTATCGCAGCCTTTCGCCCTCCAAAGGTGGGTCGCCCTTGCCGACGGCGAAAGCGAGCGCGGGCTTGTTGGCTCCGCGGTGTGTCTGAACGCGTGGGAGGCGCACCTCCCTCTGACGCGGCATTAGAGCAATGACCCGTGGGTCATTCATTCAGAAAATGTTGCACTTCCAGCCAAGGAGACAGCCGCCAGAACGCCGTTTTGGCCGAGAAAATCCGTCTCCACGATTGATTCGTTGTAGCTGATAAAAGTACTGCACAAACGAACGCAGAATCTGCCAATTCCTAAATTCCCAGGAGTGATTGTCGACGGCAATCCATGGAAAGAAGCGGTTTCTGCCTGTTGGCGGCAGGGATTGAAGCAAACAGCGTTCTTGCGCGGCTCGCACTGCAGTGAAAGAGAAAATAAATATAATCTTCAGGATCTGATTGGCGCAATGGCAATCGGCGTGAGAGATGCGGACAGGCTTGACATGGTTGGTGTCCTTGCTTCTCGATCTCTGCAAAATAGACC